CTAGGGGGACTCCTTGGCAAGTGGAATAAGGGAAACTGAGACAAAATAATTAAACAAGGCCAAACAACCTGAGCAATTTACAGGCAGCTAATGAATCACAAGGTTTTATCTTCCCTAACCAAGGACACTAAGGAGCAAATGGTTTGCAAATTCCAGACTGTCCAGGGATAGAATGGCCCCAATCCCGGTCCCTCTAGGGGCTTCACCCCTTTTGAGGCCTATAATGTAGGGACCACTACTCAAATAGCTGGTTCATGGCGCTCTCACCCTGGCCAAACTCCCGATTACCTCTGAGCCCCAGAGATCACCGAGTATTAGCCTAGGCCAGGTCCCGCAGCAGAACAACGGCGGCGGCGGCGGCGGCGGCGGCGGCGGCGGCGGGCGGCGCTGCAACACCAGCCGTTACAGCCTTTCAGAGGCCGGTCTAATGCACCTGTAGCAACATTACTGGAGCTGAGGGTCCCTAAAAATGGGGAAAATAGAAGGGGGAAGGGAGAAGGGAAGGAGGGAAATGAGGAGGGTACAGGAAAGGGGGGAAGGATGGGGCGGGACACCGCGGGGAAGGCCAAGGGTTTACTGGCGGGATTCTGACGTTCCCATGGAAACGTGTCCCTCCGCTTGTGATTGGTCCTCTACGCTCTTCAGTCCGTCCCCCACCCCCACTCCCAACGCCGCTGCTCCGGTGTTCCGCCCAGCTCCTTTGTGCCCTGCAGAACGCCGAGGTGACGCATGCGCAAAGAGACCCAGCCACCGCCTATATAAACCCGAACCCAGGCTCTTCCTCGTCGTGCCGCTGGGACCGTTGGTGTGCGAAGTCTGTGCAGCTTCTGGTGTCATTCGGATCCTGGGCTCTGCGAGCTGAACGAGCCGAGCTCGCGGGCCAGTCATCATGTTGCGCCGCGGGCCGTACGGAGGAGGTAAGAGGGTAGGGCCCCGTGACTGCCGGGACTCGGGGCGGGACCGCCTCGCGCTCGGAATATCCTACCGCTCATCTGCTCCCGTGTTTTGGAGGCGTTTTCCCACCATACTAGAACGTGAAGAACTTTGTCCTAAGCCCAGCTCTTCAGAAATGTGCCGACTTTGCTGGCTTTAAGACCACGTTCAGTTCTTGATAAGAGCACGAAATAATGTTTTGCACGGTCTTAAGGGTGTGCAAAGAATTCATTCTAACTTGGGTCAAGTTTTCCATAACGCGCGTTCTTCTGTTTGCATTTTTAAACAGAAACCAAGGTGTATGTTGGTAACCTGGGAACAGGTGCTGGCAAAGGAGAGTTAGAAAGGGCTTTCAGTTACTATGGCCCCTTAAGAACTGTGTGGATTGCAAGAAATCCTCCGGGATTTGCCTTTGTGGAATTTGAAGACCCTAGAGATGCAGAAGAGTGCGTGCAGAAAGGGGCTGGCACCTGAGAACGTGGCTGTCTTTTTGAATCGGGAGGGAGTCACAAGCTCCCGACTGCTCTGAACTCCAGTTCTGGGAAGTCTCTGGGGACCCAGGACTCATACAGGGAGAAACTGGACTGTTTGGCAGCAGGCAGAACTCGTCGGCTTTCCCTCAGAGGTGCTTGCAGCAATTACCGGGACACTGAGACTCGGGGCCCCTTAGGGCAGGGCTGAGGATCAGCCATAGCTGCTTGCTCTGCCCTGTTGACTCCCTGAGACCCCCACCCCACCCAGGCTGCCGCAGAGGCTTTTGCATATGAATGCCCTGACCCTTTGCAATCTGAAAATTACCTAACAAATTGCAGCTGGGCCAGACAGATCCAGAACTTCCAAGAGCAGGCCCAAGGCCCCACAGCAGCTTACATTGCTTCACAGCTGGGCCTCATCTGGGCACCTCCAAACCCCCCAAAAAGGAAGGGGAATCTGCAGATCTCTCCATAGCTCCTGCTGGGTAGCCTCAGGCAGAGGCTAAATTAGCACTTCCTTAGATCCAAGAGCCAGTGTACCCAGTGGTCAGAGTGGGCCCATCCAGATTATAACTCCTCAGATCCATAAGGGACACACTCAGGGGGCAGACTGAGTGAGCACCAAAGCCCCACTGAAGCAAGTCTTGCCCCAG